CAAGAACTAAGGGATGAAAAGAGAAGGGAGGGCTGAGCAGGGGTACCAGGTATGCTGCTACTCAGGGAATGGAATGGGTATAGTTCTGCAAGACAAGGCTGGGCCAGATATAGGGAGGACAGAAGATGAAAGGTAGAAGGGGGAGGACCACACGGTGCCTTGGAAGCCAGGGTGTGTGTGTTACAGTTATAGCCCATGTAAATTGTATGATTACATTCATGTAAAAGGCCCTTTGCATGTTCATATGCTTGAACACTTGGTACCAAAACAGGGGCACTGTTTTAGGAGGCTGTGAAGCCTTTAGGAGGTGGTACCTAGCTGGAGGAAGTGCATCACCAAAAGGCCAGCCTCTCGAATTATAGTTCTGCCCAATTCTGGCTCTTCAGAGCTTGTTTGGATGGATGTGGGAAATGTTGAGGCCACCGGGCCAGATATCGGTGGAATAAAATAAGAACACCTGCTCTCATCCACCATAGGACAGGCACCTAAGTAAAGGGCCACCTGGGCTGCCAAGCTTGTACGATGATTTAGGATGAAATTCCAGGGTGTGCCTTGGTGTGGAAGAATTGTCTGTATTCTGTCAATCATGTTTTAAATAAACGCTGATTGGCCAGGCAGGAAGTAGAGGCGGGTCAACAAGACAGGAAGTAGAGGCAGGAGATGAGAATGGGAGAATTCTGGGAAGGAGGAAGCCCATTCCTTCCAGTCCTGCCCAGATCACCGAGGAAGCAGAATGTGACCTACCTAGCTGAAAAAGGTACTGAGCCGTGCAGCTGACATAGATAAGAATAATGGGCTATATAAGTTATAAGAGTTAATAAGAAGCCTGAGCTAATGGCCCAATCAGTTTATAATCTTATGGAGTTCTCTGTGTGATTTTCTCTGGGACTATATGGCTGGGGGACCAGGCGGGACAGAAACCCCAACTAGCAGGCCCTCATATTACAGTGCCTGTCAATGAAAGCCCTGAACAGCTCTTACTATGGGCTACTCAGGCCACGTGAAGCAGTGTGACTTTATAGAGAATGACCCCATTTTCCTCAGAGAAATCTAGAAAGTTCAGTTTTGAATGTCTTTCAGGTTAAAAGTGACTATTCTCCCACAGGCTCTGTGATGCTCGTGGACCGTAAGAAATGGTAGGCGCTCTAACACATAGTAGGTTCCCACCTCCCCACCTCTTTCTTTTGTCCATAGAAAATAGATTTCCTTAGGAGGGGAGAGAAAAAAGACCCCATGTAATTAGCATTATAGGCCCTTTTCAACTTGGTTTAGGCACACATTCAGTCAGTCGGGGGAAACACCCACTCAGCTCTAACACTGCCCTAATTATAAATCTCAGCTTTTAATTCATTAGCCCAGAGTCCCCAGGGGCCCCCACAAAGGTGTGTTCTACTGGGCTCATTCAAGGCCCTCTGTGTTTGGCAGACCTCCTTTGTCATCCTGGTGCTGGGGGACAGCCTGACAGGTGTTTTACAGCTCAGCTGGGTCATATCAAGTTCTTATTGAAAATGCTTAAATTTCAGAAAACACCCTTGGTCTCACACTGGAGGCAAATCCACTGAGGCAAGACTAGGAAAGCTGGCCTTGACAGGATAAAATGTATCTTTCTCTGACATTAGTTTGATTGGAGAGATTGAAATGTTTAGTGATTGAAGAAAAAAAACTATTATTTCTTTTGTGCACGAGGAAATTCTCTTTTAAGGTTGGCTCCTTCGGTAACCTTCTTTACCAGGCTGGATTCTGAGGTCTAAGTTGTATACTGAAGTTATCCAATGCTTAGCATGAAAATTACTGTAGAAGTAAATGTATCTTCTCAGCAGAAAAATAATTATCTTTGAACATTATTTGGTGTCTGTCTCAATGTGTGTGTTTTGTGTGTATGCACACAAGTATATATGTGTATGGTCCATGTTGGAAATCTTATTCAACCACACTCTGTCTTATTTCTTTGGACAGGATGTCCCTCTCCATTGAAACCCTGAACAGCACTTTCTGTGGGCTACAGGGACCCATGAAAAAGCATGGGCCACCAATATGACTAGATTGACTGGCTAATGAGCTCCAGGGATCCTCTGTCTCCATTTCCTCAGTTCTGGGATTACAGGCACACACTTCTAGGCTAAGATTCTTAAAAATAAATATGGGATGATGATGGGTGAGAATCGAACCCAGGTCCTCTTGTTTACTTGGCACTGTACTGACTGAGCCATCTCCCAAAGTCCGTCATTATAATTTAAATGTAACTATATAAAGAACTGAATGCTTCTATACATAATCTAGCCTGATCTTTTTAAGTGTGTTTAATTTATTGAAATTTCCTAAGCTCAGTTTCTTCATTTAATAATGACAGCCCACAGAGAGTTTTACAGCACCATTAGGTACAATTTGGCAATGCTCCATCTAGTGAGACTTGGATCAAAACTTTCCCTGTGGTCACTAGAGGAAGGTTAGCACTAGGAAGCCTTGAAGATACAGTTCCTCTATCCCTGACTCCTTGGAGGAAGGCACTGGCTTCTTCCCTTCAAGTGGTCAGGGACTTCAGCAGTGAGATGCTCTGGAGCAGTGACCTCTTCCTCATCCACTCCTAATGAACTGCATGATTAACACCACGGTGGATTTAGTTTGGATCTTCAACCCTGCAAGTGACGGTTTAATCTGAAGTTTAGACTGCTCTGTCCAGAGTGAGAATGTGAGAATCAGGTTTGGGTCCTGGCTCAGGAGTGAAACTGGCTTATGTCAACCTGCATTCTTTGTGATCTTTTCCTGAAAATCTGTGACTACGTTAGACTAAAACCATGTATACCATGTATTAAAAATGTATGGTTCACAGCCAAATTTAATACATGCTAATCACTGCTCTTTGGTGCAGGGGGCAAGGAGTAGTTGGAAAAGGAAATTTGAAAACTATTCTTTCTTTGCTTGGTAACTCAAAGGAGTTAAAGACATATGCAAATTTTATTTCCGAGGAAGTCACAATGGATTTGTACAAGAAGGGATTGGCATGTGGCAGCCCAAGCCTCTTGTTTTCCAGGGGAAGAAATACAAGCCCACTAGAAAGAACCAAGAACCGGAATAGAAGCAGCTAAGTGAAATCCCAGTTTCAGATTTTTATAAAAATAACATTATGCAATACCTACTGTGTGCCAGCTCCTGTCCTCCACATTTTGCTTTCAAGCATCTTTTCATAGCAACCTTCTGAGTTATATTTATTTGATAATAGACTTTTACAGTTAGCATGCTGAAGATCAGAGAGGTTAAGTGTCATGCTTGAGATCACACAGTTGGCAAGTTGCAAGGTGGACTTGGAACATAAGCAAGAAAAGCCATTGCCACTTTTACGGCACTTACTATGTAACAGGTAAGGCATCAACTAGTTCTTTAACTTGTTGAATGTCTTGTTGCCTCCTACCAGGTCAGAGATGTTTTTCCCAAGTGAAGGGCTCCAACTTGACAGAACTGTCCTACCATGGCACTGCCGGATGTTATGGTGGTTTGGATGATAAGCGTCCCCCATACTCTCTGGAATTTCAGTACTTGGAATTTGAGCATGGGTCTACTGGACCATTGTGCTTTCTCTACCTCTATCCTTTCTATCCCAGAGAAAGAGGCCAGCAGAAGCAGCCGGAAGAGTAGTCTGTTCATTCCCCCTACTGACAAAAAGCTCTCAGCTTCCCTAGCTGTCTGCACGGCTTCCTTTATCTCACACTCAGAAAAGACATCTTCTTCTCATAATTCCTTCTAACTTGGGGAGCTGACCTAAAGCCTTAAACCTCCTCAGGACATAGGATGACAACCAAGCCCATCTTGCAAACTTTCAAAGTGCCTCCAGTACCTAGCAGGTAGTAACGGAATCAGTAAGACATTAATGTATGACCATATTAGCTAAGGCTGATGCTGATGCCTTGGCCAAGCTCTCCCTGTCCACAACCAAGACGGTCTGAAAAGCATACTATGCAGTTGACATATTTGAGGGAAAACACAAAGCAATCATCTGTTTGTAGCCCTCTTCCATATGCGGCCACAAATGGAACACATTGTGGGGGTCATGCGAGATCAGGAGATTTAGTGAACAGGGCACAATACGGCTTTGTGACCCGCTTTATTTTCTCATGACAATGTAAAATATAGATTGAGATGAACTAAAAATCCTTCATATTTGGTTTTATAGCCCAAATTCATAAATTCTCTGCATTCATTAGAAAGTGATGGACTCTCTGCACCCACTTGAAAAGATAGCATCCCGAGGGATAGATACAAGAATATTAAAAGAGAGACGGAAAGAGAGAGCGATCCTGATCAAAGAAATACTGCCTCTTTCCTCCTTTCACTGAGCAGATGTGCAATGTGTCCTGGGAAAGAAATAGAAAAATTCCTGAGTGATTTATGGGATGAGCCAAGTTTCCACGGAGGTTATTGCATGCCTGATAGTAAGGCGGGGGTTATTAGTTCCTAGTTGAAAATGACCAGAGAAGGTCTCATTCACTTCATCAATATGGCGCTTTTATAGGTTGTCAGGAAGGCGACATCAGGCAGCCACGGCACTGTCTTGGAGTTATTTCTCTATTAGATGGTTGCTTGTCTTTATCATTGAGACTTCCGACTATTTAAGAAAACCCAGAGCATGGGAGACGTGTCTGTTCCATCTAAGACAGAAAAGCAAATGCCTCACTTAAAGTCTTTACTCATCCAGGCATTGCACAACCTGAGTTCACACAGAAAATGAAAACAGATCCCACTACATTCATATATACATACATTTTCTAGACAAAAGCTGACTTTTGCATTTGCTAAGAAAGATACTGAGTCTTGTGCAGTGAGTTTTAGACATCCTGATGCCATCAAATTATCTTTTAAAAATTAGGGGAGTGAGTACCATACGTATGTTCTTCTATGGAAGCTAATTATTGTTTTCATTCTATAAATAAAGGAAAATTTTAGCACATATATGGAAACCTAAAAGAACAGAAAATGTTGATGTATATTTTCATCTATGACCTCAGGGAAGAGAGAGCATCTCCATCCGTCGGCAGACTGAAGAAGCTGCCATCACTCATTGGCGCCGGGATGCAGGCACTTAGAAACCAACGAAAAGTCTTGGAAGATCTTCAGGGGTGAGGCCAACATTACTAATGGAAACTGCTTGCTCTAAAACCTTGTAATTCTATAATGCTTTTCTTAGATTGCTATAGTACTAAGAATAGCAATAAAGAATGGGCAGGGCTACTTATTATGCTCCTACTGAATGTTAGTCAGCTCCTGACTCTGAAGGATGCATCTTTTAACACTTGCAGCAACCAGTAAATAAAGTATGATTGCTAATAAATAGATGGGCACCATTTGGGACTCATTAATTCACACAAGTGTCAGGCACCCAGATAAGTGTATTGGAAGTGGCATTCCTGGGGTCCCACCTCTGCTTCCTGAGTCAGAACCCAATATATTCCCAAATCTGTAGCCATGTTTCTTTGTGTGCCAGAGACTCACATAGCCCAGGCTGGCCTAAACTGGCTAGGGAACTGAGGATAACCTTGAAATTCTGATCCTCTTAGATCTGCCTTCTGTGATTGCAGGCCTGTGCCTTATATCTGCTTTTTCACCCCTCATGGGCCCCTTCCTTTATGGGTGTTAAGAAAATTGGCTTGCCTGCGAACATATTTTCCCGGCTCCTTCTCCTAGAGGTGTCGCAGAAGGCTGCAGAAAAATCTTCTAGAAGAATAACTGCTCAGAAGGCTCGGGAGGGGAATAACAATCTAACAAAATGCCAATGCACAAATTCACGTTTTTGTTCTTTTTAAATAATGGTACTTTAATACAGAATTAAATTACATTAAATAATTGTATTAAATTAAATACAGAATTATATTACATATCTTACATGCTGCATGCTACATCTATTATATTGACTGTACATTGAGACCACACACCATACCATATATTATATAATGTCCTTTCTCTTGTGGGTAAAAATACACAGCTTGATAACAGATGAAAGTGACCCTACGGTTCTCTTGAGGGAAGGATTTTTAAAGCAAATCTTGTTTTGTTTGACTCTGAAAGGACAGAGCTAAGGGTTCTGAGAATTGGGTTCCCTTGTGTGTGGAACTGAAAATCCAAACGCTTCTTCCTTTAGAGAAGCTCACCGCTGACATTTAGACAGAGCCCTCTGGCCATACAGCTTTAAACTCCCGACTTAGGCGTTTGTCTCCCATGCATCTCCAAGGCGCTGTGGAAGCTAGAGTTCTGAGTTGGATGGTGTTCCTAACATCCAGGGCATCATGCAGTTTCCCCAGATCTTGGCTGGAAATTTCTCAAGACTGAGAGGAGAAAATAAGTAAAATAGGTTCATTTGTCTCCAATTTCAGCACCCCGAGTTACAGAGGGCTCAAGGGACCCAAGGGGGCCAGGGCTGTCCTTCCCAGGGCCTGCTTCAGCACAGGTGGAGGTCTGAGACTGTCCTGTCCAAGACCCAGTTCAGCACAGATGGACGGGTGACGTCCTTGTATTTTATTCCAGCCTCTGATCCTCCTTCGTTTGCCTGCCTCCCTGGACAGATGTTTGTCTGAGCAAATTGGCTGCTGAGATGATCTCCAAGTTAACCACCGGCAGGGCCAGGGACAGGATATTGATTCCTTTCAGCCCTTTAGAGGGAACAAAGTGCTGAAAGTCAAGGTTACCACATAGACACACGGCACAAATTCCTCCAGTCTTTGAGTGTCTGTACTGTGCGTAAAGACTTCATTGCGTTTGTCCTATAATATCACTGGGGACTCACCAAACTAAAAAAAAAAAAAAAAGACAAAACAAAACAAACAAACAAAAAATCAGAAACCTTAAGATGAAAAGAAAAGGAAGAAAAAAAATCCATGTCTGTTATTTTCTGCCAGCTGGGAAGGGGCTAACTGGTGCCTGGCCCATGATGCCTGTGTTCAGGTTCACTGTGGGCAGCAACCACAGTAGGTCCCAGCCTCGGATCCGAGCAGCTACGTGACCAGGGCCCAGCTTTGCGGAAGAGCACAGACTTCATAATAATTAAAGTTAAATATTGCTGATGATCGGTTAGCAGACAATTACTTTAAAAATTATTCCAGAGAACAAATAAGAACCATGAGTAGCATTTTCATTGGTAATATATATAGTATACAGAATTTGCTTTCCTAGATAAAAGATACTTTTTTTCTCAAATATGTATTATTTTCTTGGAGTTATAGATTAAGACCAGTTTCCCCACATCTTCTTCATGACAAAGCATGAAGGAAAAAGAAAACCTTTTAGCAGCAAAAAATGTTTGAATTTTTTAATTTAACCTTCCTTTCTGTTTTCCTCTTTTTGACAAGGGAAACCGGCATATCTCAGGCTAGCTAGCTGTACACTCCTTAAGTAGCTGAGAGTGACTGAACTTCGGATTCTTCTGTCTCCACATTCAAATGCTGGGATTACAGGAGTGAACCACCATGTGTAATTTACAGGCAAAACAAACAAACAACCCGAAATCGCTGATCTTCTTTCTTCCAGTCCTGAGCAACATCACACCTAGAGACATCGGGCACACCTCAACAGAGGGATCATCAGACTTTCTGAAACACTCCCACTTGCCAAAGGGTGATCGGAAAGACACCGAGAAGAGGCAACACCAGCAGTAAAGACTTCTTTCTAGGTCAGGTTCTGGGGTTACCTTGTTTAGTTATGCCTCCTCCCCTTTTAAGACTTGGTGCAAATGAGCTTCCCCTCCTCCCTCTCCCTGGGTCACTTTCAGTTTGTTCGAACCAGCCCTGTGTGCATTTGGGGTTGACAATGAACCAGAAGTTCTTGGGCGTGAGATGTGTTTAAGTTCCCAGTGCTGGCACCATTATCTTCAGACTCTGGCCACATGAACTTGAATTACTGAGCACTGTTATCATTGTCTCAGGACTTAGCTGAGAAAGGTCAGTTCAGACCCAGAGAGCCCAACTGAAGCAGACAGAACATGGGCCCCTCCCTTGATGACCTGCTCTCATTTCAAGTTGAAAGATGATTCAGATCTCAAAATAAGAAATGATTTGCAAACTCAGTTGAAAAGATGCAAACATGAGTACCGCCATCATGCCCATGGCCTTTGAGCCAGAAGGTCTGCTTTTTAACTCTAACTCTGCCAAGGAGGCAGGAAAACGCACACATGGATGGGGCATTGGCCATCTCAGACTCGAGTAGAGTAACAAAACCTGACCCACTCAGTGCTAGCTAAGAAAATGATGTTATCGTATGTGATACCACAAACCCAAATAAGACTTCAAATGATATTTCCTACACAGAGGAAAATACATCTTATTGAGCAAACTGTGTATTTTTTTTAAATGTAAGGAACAAGCTATTTTTTTTTTTTAATAAGAAATCACATAAACCTCCAGGCCTTTATCGATGTTTACCACTGGGAAGAGGGCATCTTCTTTTTAGTCACTTCATATTTTGCTGTATTTCTGAAATTCTCTCCTAAAAACACCTATTTATTGGATAATGTAAAATCCCAAGCCAATACATGTCATTTTAAAAAGCTGGCAGATAACACCAGTTTCTGTGATCCTGCCTCTATCTGAAACGTGGGACCATGGTCAAGGGCACCACCACACGTGCGTCTCCCGGCCCCACGGTTCCAGGCAGGGCCTGTATATAGTTGTCAAAAGAAAGGTCCGTAACATGCCTTCACGGCTCCCAGGCCTCTATTAATGCCGCATGTGCTCCTGTAAGGTGAGTGATTAAATGACATGCAATAATTGTCTCTCCTCTAAAGCAGGCATTTATTTTCCTCCATGCGTGAGGCTCTGTTTTTCTATCATTTATCACAACTTCACTGTAGGACTCATCTCCGTGGGCTGTGTGTCTTGTACCTCTCTTTTTAACGCAAGCTGACCTAAACGGCCCCGGTCAGAAATTAAATATAATTACCTATAGACTCGCACTGGGCAAATGAGATCGCGCGGGCTCCTGAAGCGGAACAAGGTGCGTTGGAGGTCTCTGCTCGTCCGTCTTCCCCAGAGTTAATTTCTCCCCTCCTGGAGGACGCCTACGCACAGCCTCACAATGACCTGTTTAGTTGGCAGTGGAAAATGATGTCATTTGCAAGTAAGCTTTCAGCTGTGATATTTTATAATTGTTAAGATGAAAACCCGATAATCCTCTCCCCCTTCACATAAACTGCAATCCATCTTTAAACCTGTGATAATTCTCCAAACCTGCCGCTTAATAAACTAACAAACCCCAGGCCTGTGCGATTTTACGGGGAGTCAATCTTTGATCAGCCAAGCTGAAACGGGTCTGATAAAGGGACGCCCTTCCACTCCGGAGTCACCACTTGAGTGGGTTATTGCTGTTTCCTCCGGTCCTCCAGTGCCAAATAAGCAGAGGTCTTCCCAAGCTCCTTATCTCTTCCACTTTCTTCTTGAGATCTCTGTCGCTTTAATCCGGCATGTCTGCTGCTGGTTAACAAGGAAATCCTATGTCAATTATCGCCAACAACTTCCTGCTGAGAAGCTGCAGGGAGTCAAAGTGTTTGAGAGCCTTTTCACACCAGAGAGTGGTGCAGGGCCTAATTAAATGGCCCTCATATCTTACAGCCTGGTGGAGGCCTTGTGATAGATAGCTAATGAAAGATAGCCTCATTTGGCTAAGAACCTTTGAAGGCCAGTGGGCTGTCCAGCGGGTTGGAGGTGCACCCCAAAGTGGAGCTGCATGGGACTCCTGCAGTTCCAGTGAGCATAGAGGGGGCTGTTCTGGCGTTGGACAGGTGGCTGGGAAGGGGTGGGTCTTTGGTTGCAGCTCGCTAGAGTTGGTCTATGAGGCAGTGGGGTCAAGTGGGGTAGGGATCAGACTTCAGGGAGATGTCCGCTAAACCATTAAAGTCAGGCTTCAAAGAACACTCCCCCGTGAAACTGACCCCTTAGTCTCAATATAAGGGGTCTCCTCTCCCACTCAGGACTCACCAAGTGGCATAATTCTGTCTTTGAAAATACATGTTTTGGGGCTGGGGTTGTAGTCCAGTGGGAGGGTGATTCTTTGGCATGCACGAGGCGTTAGGTTCGATCTCCAGCACTGCAGCAACCAGGTGCAGTGGCACAGCCTATAATCCCAGCCTTTTTGGGGGGCAGACACAGGAGGATCAGAAGTTCAAAGGCAACCTCATCTCTGAGTTAGTAGCCAGTCCGGGCTACATAAGACTCCATCTTCCTGCCACACATACCCTCCATATTCGGGGAACAAATCTGATGTGTTGCTCTATGTTTTAATGAATGGTATTTAATCCTTATAATATTTCATAAAAAAGGACATTCTGAAACATGACAGAAGGAAATAATAAAAACATATTTTCAGGAGAAAAGCCAATGTTTTAAAGGAAATCAGGTTATGTCTATGAAACTCATTGTGCTGTTCTTAGATCACACGGAGAGTTTCCCTGCTATGGGGCCACCAGTTCATGTCAAGAAATGGCATTGCTGCATGATGTAAGAACATGAAGAAGGCAGGTGGTGCTGAATCAGTGGTTCTCCACAAAGGCCACGGCTTAAAACCAACTGGGGGAGCCTTAGAAACTTCCTACAAACACCCCAGGAGGTTTGGTTTAATTGACAGACATTGTTAAATGCTTGAAAACCCACTGCTTGCTTGTATTCTCTTTCCTCTCACACTGTGTATTTGCACGTGTGTGTGTGCGTGCGTGTGCATGTGTGTGTGCGTCCGTGTGTGTGCACTCATATATGTAGAGGTCAGAAGACATTGGCTAGTGTTTTTCAGTCATTGTCTACATAGTTTTGTGAGAAAGGGTCTCTCCTTGGTCTGAAACTCACCAAACAGGCCAGGCTGGTTGGCTAGCAAGCCCCTGGGATCCACCTCACTAGCATTGTGATTACACCCATGCACCACCAAACTTAAAAACATGGGTTCTGGGGATTGAACTCAGGTCTTCATGCTTGCGAGGCAAACTCCAACTGCGCTATATCCTCAACCCCAGACCACTGCCTTGATGCTCAGATATTGTACTCCAGAGCATTTCCAAAGCTCACATGCACATTTTCCATCTGGGGATCTTGTGCAAATACAGATTCTTTTTCCACATGTCCATGGTGGGATCTGGTATTTTTCCTGTCTAAGCAGCTCCCTGGTGATGCTATTGTTGTTGGTCCACAGACAAAACTTAGGAAACCAAGGCAAAGGAATATTTCCACTATAGGATATCTAGGCACTTAGCTGCAGACCAGGGCTTTTTCTAGGATCCGCAAAGGGTTGCCAGCTAGGGGAAGTGTCTTAGATATGATATGACTAATGCAACTGTAAGGTTGGCTATGATCCTTAATCTAGAGGCAGCAACTTGTGTATCCTGCAGCTTGTCTCCATCTATGTTCTAGAGTGACCTTGGTCATTCTGTGGTAGACCAGAAAGCTTAAATTTGGCATAGGGACTCAGGCAATGCTGGCAAATATAATTGGAGATTAAAAACAAGAAAAGGATGTGACCTAATTATCATTGCTATTTATAACTGCCCCAACTTTGCCTCACTTTGTCTATTGGCCAGGCCTGATGACAATGTCACAGAGACAGAGAAACAAGAAGGATGAAAAGCCCACCCTATTGGATGTAGGTAGCAGAACTACAATGGAGACCTCAGGTTCAGAAACATTCCCCAGTGAAGAAGGGAGACCTATAAATCCAGAAGCTACAGAAACTTACCTGGCTCAGAAAGTCATAAAACTCCCAAGGGTATGTCCATAGGTCATATAAGCAGCAAACCATTGCTGGGGAACTGGGGACTCTGCATTGGATCTGCAGTTTCAGGGAGACAGCTTCTCGAGCCTCACCCTTGATGGCTCTGTGGGGACACAGCCATGCAAGAGTCACAGCAGGCATGGCCTGGAGTTTCTGTTGAGTCTGTTTATTCTAGGGGCGTTCATCTTAGCCGTTCCATCTCAACTCGCTTCTCTTCCCTGTGTTCTCACTAAATCTGTGATCTTGGGCAAAGTACTGAACTTCCTGTGTGTTTCAGAGTCCTGATTTATAATTGGGTGGCAGTAACTACTTAATTCAGAGTGTTGTTTAAGGGAGGCAGGATGAGGCTTAGCAGGGAGGCTGGAATTGAGCAAACTCTAAAAGGATCTTATCCTGCAGTTGAAGCTTGTGCATTAGAGCTTAAAGAGATCTCAGGGGTGATCTGGTCCATTTCACTTCATTTTGTAAAGAAGCTGAGGTTCCCTGAAGTCATGCAATTGTCCAAAGAATCACCTTAGCCAGTAAAAGGCAGAAGATGGTCCCAGGAAAACAGTTCTGTATTTTCACTCATATAAACTGTATATGTCTGCAAGGTGCCTTTAGTCTTCTTTGGAACAAAATGGATTATTGGTGAACACATAGAGAATTAATCTGCTATTCCTTCAACTCCTTGTTGTCCTTGGGAATAGAAAATCCCAGTCTTCAGTGTTCTTTACCATCTGTGGACGCATAGCAGATAATACTAACCCACTAAGTCTTCTGTCCCTCTAGTTCCTTACACAGCTTCAGTGTACACATTCCAGGAAGTCACTACCAGCTAGTCAGTGGCAGCCCTGGAAAAACAGCATGGACGTGAACTTCCAGATGGCACCTAGGTTGGTTCACTTTGACATTAGGCAGGATTTTCCTTACAGAATAGCAGAGAAAATTGAGTTTATGACAGCCCAGTGGCTGAAAATTTGTCCAACACAAACATCTGGGGATCCACGAATTTGTAACAACAGGGTTGTTACAGTTGACATTTTGTTCAAATCCTTCATTAGGTTTTTTTTTAAACAACTGGAGCAGTTTTTAATGAACAATAATTACAACTTTGGATTTCTGATTATATCAAAATAGGGGGCGGAAGGCAGCTCACCCTCAATAGTGGCTTTTATGTGCTCTAACCCTGACAAGACCGTTAGCACCACCTTGCCTTGTCTAGAATATTTCCCTAGCAATCTAACACACCATTTCCTCAAAGGTAGAACCAGAGCAACTGCAAAATTGGAAACAAATTGCAGTTCCAAGCCAAAGATGACTTTAGAAGAATGTTTTCTTTCACCAAGGCCAAAAGGGAAAGTAATTAGATGTCTGAACAGCTGCATTTGCTGCACTTGAGGTTCGAAATGTTTAAGGATCTTTGGAGATATCCATAGGCAACGACAGAGTTAAAAACAAACCAAACAACCATTGTAACTGACAGTAAACTTGAGAAGGCTCAGGAAAGTCCACTGGGGGGAGTGGTGGAGTATACCAAACCAGAACATCAACATCAACATCAATAGGGACATCAAGAAAAAATATTTGAAGTTCCCACTTGCCAAGGGGTCCATCAGCCTCCATGGGGCAGACATCATGAAGAAAACAATTTCCCATCCCATCAAACCTTTTCATTGCTATTATCAAGGATACTAAGTTAATTTCTGAGCAAACAATTTTGTCTTTCATTTAATACCCTCTGCCCCAGAACCTAATAGCTGATATGTTATTTTCATCTCCAACTCTGAATCTATCCAACACTGTCTGATAGTACTTGGGGGATGGACACATACTACTATCCCCCTCTAAGACTATGCAAATAAATTCTTTACATAGATTAGAATTCAAAGACCTTGTAATAGCACTTAAAGTACTTCCTATGCTAGCCCTCAGCCCATTTGATTACCACGAATGTTACTGCAGCTGTCACTAAGACTACTTATCTAGAACTCTAAACACTTCTGCAAGAAGAATCTATCACCAGATTTATGTGGTAGCTGGTCATTGCCTGAGGTTCTTTATGTGTATGACTTCACATTACATTGTCATGTACACTTCAGGGATCGGGAAATCAAAGAGCAAGAAAGTTAGAGGCATTGCTGAACTATTAAGTGAATGAAATCAGGCGGAGGGCTAAGAAGGTCTTATGAATATCCCTGCGCACTGGCTATGGTATGGTTAGCTATCACATTTGCATCCCTAGAAGGATGAAGAAGCACAAAGCCTCACCTAATAACAATACCTATAGATCCTTACCAGAATTTGGCCCCTTGGCCATCCTTGGCTTCAAAAGAGGCTGAAGGACACAGTTCAAAAGGAGGAAGGCAAACATTGAGTAAACCACCAGACATCTCTGCTCTAAGAAATGGTAGTCTCTATCATGTGGGTGAAGGATCCACCTATTGGGCTAGCTTTTTGCTTTCTGGTTCCTCCTCTGGAATTCAAGCCTATATGATGATGGCACATTGATGGTGACATTTATGACTTTTTGAGGTGGTCAATAACATGATTGAATAATCAAAAGAAGATGAATATCTAAATAAAATGAACATCTTGGTGGGGCAGTGGTGGTACACTCCTTTAATCCCAGCACTCAGGAGGCAGAGACAGGTGGATCTCTGTGAGAGTGAGGCCAGTCTGATCTACAGAGTGAGTTCAAGGACAGGTTCCAAAGCTACAGAAAAACCCTTTCTCAGGGGGCTGAACATCATGGCTATGATTACATTCTGTTTATGACAGTATTAAAACAATGCATTTTAATCAAAATGGAAATGTAATACATTCAGTTCATCTAGTTCCCCTCTGCAAACAACGTCCCACCCCCGCTTGTTTCTTTTTCTTTCCTGGGGAAGGTTAGCATTTCTTTCCCAGAGTCACTGATGGGATTCTGCCTCCTTACGTAGCATGCTGATGGGTTTACTGTGCCAGCCCACAGCTCACCACAGCTTCAACTGAGACGGAGAAAGTGCCAAGTTGCTATAA